CGCCATACCCAACTGTCACATCCCCTCTTTCAGGATTTGTTATTAGTTCTCTATTAAGTTTAATTCTATATTATTTATAACCAATAGAAAGCCAAGGTTTTCATCTATCAAATGATGTATTATATTCCATTGTGTTCTGAACAGAGTATTGCCAGTTTCTCTTTTAGTACAAGCTTTGTTCCGACAGGAAAGATATGGACTAGCTTCGATGAATTTGTAATGGCTCTTGTAGCATAGTTAGAAAGCCAGAAAAATTGTGATAGTTATGGGACATTGTCTGATTTTTGCATGTTATTATTCTATGTTCTTTGGTGCATTAATTAATTAAAGAAAAATTATTTAGTGCACTACCACCATTAGTATAAAAAAGTAGGGTTAAATGTTATCAACAGTAGACAGCAGACAAAAAAGGTCTAGGTAAATACTTTATTTCTTTTTTTTATGAGTATTTATTTATTATTATGAAATTAAAATGTAAAAATAGAATCTTGTTAGGTTAGTTAAAGTTAGATTAGGTAAAATAAATATTAATGTAATAAAAAATTTTCATGAAGCATGCATGCGAGCACCTCAGAGTAGCTCGTGGGTAGTGTAATTCATTGGCGTAACGTGAGCCCCACATTCCACAAGTGATTTACAAATAGTAGTTAGACATGGGATCAAAGGGCAATAAAACAATGAAATTTAAATATAAATAGATGTATACTGTTACGACTTTAAAGCTACTTAAGATAAACAATTATGGTTTCATGTTACAGTTTGAAGTCATTACGAAAGAAAAAAATGGATAATTTAGATTTATTTCGATTTTTTTTTGGTGGTTACGATGGTTAAAATTTACCAACCTTGTATAGAGTTAGAGCAGAGAAAATAACAGGTAAGATATAAAGTTTTACTGAAAGCAAACATTTGAAATGTATTTAGAAGGCTTTAGGGATTATGTAAGTGAAATTTGAGATTTTTGAGATGAAGAAAAGTATTTTTAATCCTAACATGAAAATCACTTTGCACTCGGACTTGTCAAAAAAAAAGATAGTATTTTCTTGGACAAATCTTTTTTTAATTTATTAAAAATACTTCACTTAAAAATCTGATTTTATGTGTGTGAAAGACTTGTAATACATACTGGAAGTCTGCCAAATTTTGTGAAGATACTCATACCACATTATACAAGTACAAAGAGGTTATATGGTTGGTCAATTCAACCAAGTCCGTGTAGAAAGAGTTGAAAGTTTGGAGTTATCATTTATTTACTTCCAAAATAATAAAATTATGGTCTGTACATAATGCATTGTTGTGGTACCTTTTTAAATCAGTGACTAACACAGTAATATCGTAAGCAGTAACAGAAACAAGAATTCTAAAACAACAAAGATTATGTTATAAAAGAACTTTGGTTATAATATGACGTTGCATGTTAAAAAAGTCAAATCATCCAGACACAGTTGAACAATCATATCAACTTATAGCCTGAAAAGAATGCTACCAATACATCATAATGGTCAGTTTTGTATAATATGCATCAATATATTAAAATTAGATATGAAATGATTTTAGTAAAAATACTTCTTGAAAATTTGAAGTCCTTGAAATATCTGGAAAAAAAAATTTCCAGGTCTGTATGAACCATAATAAATTTACAATCAATCCTCTCACAAGGAGTAAACTTTAGTGGTGAAAAATGCAAGTCTTCAGATTTTTCTAATGTTGTAAACTTTTCTTGCATGTGAATTTCAGATGTCTTTCGAGAATTTATATCACCCATCACTGCTGTTCAAACTTTGTTACATTCTGTTGCCAAGAAACGCAAGGAGATGTTGGATAGGACCATGGCTTTTGTCATGCCTGTTTTAACAGATCCATCCTCTAACCCTAGACATAAGGATGGAGCTTTGCACATGTTAGGAACTGTTGCAGACATATTGATAGAGGTATGGGATCTTGTTTAAGTTCATAAAAGGGGGGGGGGTAGTGTGTGTTTTGCATTTAGCACTTCTAGATAAATGCCTTTGAGGTGTTGAGTGCACACTTGCAGCTACACTTTCATAATTTAATAAAATAATAATAATTCTAACTCTGAGTCAGAGATGTTTTAGAATGGACGTTTTGTAATATATATTTAGTGTATCTTGCAACTAATTTTTTTAGAATTTTTCTGGGCATCTCAAGACATTGGTTTTTAATTGCTAATAAACTGTCATCTCATTAGAATACAATTAACTTAGTCTTGTTTCTCTTGTGATTTTTCCTTCTCTGTCTAAAGATTTATTATTATTGACCTCTGTTCACATCACATGCTGTGAAGGTAATAAAGGGGTGGTAAAAGCCACTTTGAAAAATAGCCATAGGCAAAGTTTAATTAAGCAGCATATAATCTGCTCTATATGCTGCTTATAACAATGTAAAGTTAGTAAAGCAGTGGTTTTGTGAGAAAGTGATTAGATGTAGCTCTTTCAGAGGAAAACAATGGAATTTAGGGTGAAGTTAAGAATATTTAAGGAAAAACCACTGATTTGGGAATATTTTTATGGTTTCTTTACTTTATGTTTTGTGTGAAATTATATTTGTTTGAAATTTATGAGAATTTTTGTTCCGTAATTAGACACCAAGTAAACTTTATTAGGTTTAGTCAGTATGGTAGCAATGTCAAAATATTCTGGTGATTTAAATCCTAACTTGTTAAATATTCTTGTTAAGATTATCATATTCAAACAAAGTGAATAAATGAATTAAATTATAATTTATTAAAAACAAAATATATTCAATAGATATAAATTGACTTCAACCAATGTGTATTGTCAGCAAAAATATTGTTACACAGCCTGACCTGACATCATTTGAAAAAGTCAGTTCTTGGATGACTGATAAACATTTGTCAGTTTATGCAGTGTTTTGATGATTTACAGCCAAAAGTGGGGACTACTACAATTGGCAAAATAGTTTCAAAAGAAAAATGATAATAAAAACAATGAGGTTGGTATTGATTAGATGTATAAAATTAAATTTCAGATCAACAATAAAAAAAAAAAAATTCTAAAATAAACTATTTTTCATGTTGTTTTTTAAAGTGGGTCACAGCAAAACATTTTGGAAATTTCATGACATAAAAAAAATCATAGGATAATAAATTAAATTTTTGAAAGCCAAAACTGAATACTATTTAGTAAGTTTGTGTTAAGTTTCATGCAATTTAGTTAACTATTTCCAATGTGAGAGTAAAAAACAAATCGGGAGATGTTGGTTAAGAAAATATGATTAAGTGTTTCTGTTTTTTTAACTAATTTAGTAACAAAGTTTTGTAGGTCAGTGTGTTTTTTTTTATTGGATAAATGACAGTATTGAGTATTAAAAATGTTAGAATATACTTGTATTGATGCACATTCCAATTTATGTTAATTTTTAATATATGGTTATCCCTCTGTTTTTATAATCCCATTATCCTTGTTTAGCTTCCTTTAGTCTCATATCCTTGTACTAAACCATAAGAATTTATTTAACTTCCTCTGAGTATGTGATGTTTTTAGCTTCTTTTTTCTTTTTTAATATGTTATGAGTGTCTTTTATATCGAGTATTTGAATTTTGATTGGATAAGGATATATACTTTCAAAAACAAGGTTTTACAGAACATTTAGACTGTGTAATTTTCATGTATGCATGGTTCCCAATCTGTCTTAGAGTTTATATTCTGCGTACATAATTCATGTGGGCCAAGCATAATGGTCTAATGTTAATCACTTATTTAAACTCTGAGAATTCATTCATAGATAAAGATATTACTACATGCCTGAAAGATTAGTTCTGAGTCTTTATCAATAAGGGTGATGTGTTATACTTCTTGTCTGATCAGTCTATCTGTTTTTATTGGTGACTAAAACAAAGTTATTAAACACATCTTTTTCTTCTTTTTTTAATGCCGTGATTTTGTTTTGTTGAATTGAAGATAGTTATACAGAATGGGCCATAGTGAACAGTCCAGTAAAAGAAATAAAAGCTACAAGTCACACAACAAACCTTTTCTCCATGATTAAGTTGTATTTGTATGAACTCTGAATTAGTCTAACATTATGAATGTTGAAAGTGCTCAAAATTGATCACATAAATATCTTGCATGAAAAGCAGCAGAATTAGTGTTTTAAATGGGATGTACGCTATGGACCACTCTTTATACTTTTATAATATTGAGTATTTTAATCAAGTTAATGAAAGAATTTCTTTTTATGTATCCCATTGAACATTCGTGTAACTTATTTTGGATGAAAAATAGCTTCTATCAAAGTTTAACATTACATGCCACATCTCCTAGTATTTTTAACTATAGCAAATTATTTGTGGACAAAACTAGCTATCCCCACTTCATAAATCCAACAATAAATATGATTTATATCAGGTTTTTAGTATGCCTAACATTGTGAATATCTGCTATTGTAATTCGAAAATGTAAGAACTATGTTGGGACTTAAAGTAGTTTAATTAATTATTACAAGTGTATGTGATCATTCTACCCTTTTAAACAAACATTTAGTGAAGTAAATAACCATAGTGAATAATCTTTTCTGCTTTAAAGAAGGTCCAGAATGCTCCTTACAGCATTGTTATTGTCAATGTTTATCATACAGCATTGTTATTGTCAGTGTTTATCATACAGCATTGTTATTGTCAGTGTTTATCATACAGCATTGTTATTGTCAGTGTTTATCATACAGCATTGTTATTGTCAGTGTTTATCACACAGCATTGTTATTGTCAATATTTATCATACAGCATTGTTATTGTCAGTGTTTATTTCTATGGTATATTATTAATTATATACCCATTTTACTTATCATTTCATTTCTCATATCAAAACTGTTATATTAAAACTTTTCACTCATGTTTTGTCTTTTCTATAGAGAAGTGATTATGAGGATAAGATGGAGACAATTCTAGTGACATACGTGTATCCTGAGTTTAACAGCCAATATCCATACTTGAGAGCAAGTGTAAGTCATGCATAGGTTTCTAAAATAGTGTATATGTCTTTTTTCAGTTTGAATCTTTTGACTTACCATGACAATAATGATATAGGATATCAAACACAACTATTAAAATTTATAAACTACATTCCGGTGGTGGCATTAGAAATAAAAGAAGCAATGATATACAATATTTTCTCTAATTTTAATTATACAACCAGTAAAAAGTCCCATATTCAAGACTGGACATGTTAATCTGCAGTTTGAGGATGTGTCATGTTTATTTAGTGGGCATTCCAGTTTTGGAATGCTGAATGTTTAATAAATGGGTGTACTCATCTTGGAATGCTTCATGTTTACTTGCTAGGTATGTCAGTTATGTAATTATTGTGTTTACTTACTGGGTATGCCAGTTTGGAATGCTTCATGTTTATTGACTCAGCATACCAATTTGGGAATAATTCATGTATACCTAGTTTTTAGAAATCTGTTATATTTCTGAAAGCATGTTATGGCTTTAAGATACGTATTATTATATTTCATAACCTAATATAAGTATATGGTTATGTAAAATAATTTTTTTCGTTAATACTTCAACATTTCTATTTCATGTTTTTTCAGTGTTTGCAGCATATTTTTCCATAGACTTGTTTGTTTTCTACTGTTTCTTGATTATGTGTGTGTGTGTGTGTGTGTGTGTATATATATATAATTCAGGCCTGTTAATACTCCAATATTCTCATACAATGAACATTTTAAATTGTTGTAGTTTACCAAGTAGGGTAGTTGATGCTGTGTTATACTTCCCATTTTGAAATTTTCCAGTGTTTTAGGTTATTATGGAGATGTGTTGATTATTCTATTACTTCAATTTCAGGAAGTGTACCAATGTTTATTTGTTCATTGTTTAGGCATGCTGGTTACTTCACTACTTTCATAAAATGAAGTTTTCTAACGAATACAACCTAATACAAGCTGTCCAATTAGCACAACACTGTTTAATTCAAGAGAAAGAACTTCCTGTGAAAGTGGAGGCTGCAATAACCATACAGATGTTGATTCTCAGCCAAGAAAAAGGTTAGTATGTTGAATAATGAAGCACTTCTACATTACATTAATTACTTACTGGTGAAAATGTTGGCTGACAGCTTTTTGATTATGCTTTATTATTATTATTATTATGATCACTATGACAAATTTTAACTGATAGCTTTGTCCATTATGCTTTATCATTATGATGATCACTAGTGAAAATGTTGACTGACAGCTTTGTCCATTATGCTTGATTGCTGTTGTGGTCACTAGTGAAAAATTTTGACTTGACAGTTTTGTCCATTATGCTTGATTGTTATTGTGGTCAATAGTGAAAAGTTATGACTTAACAGTTTTATTCATTATGCTTGATTGTTATTGTGGTCACTAGTGGAAAATTTTGACTTGACAGTTTTGTCCATTATGCTTGATTGCTATTGTGGTCAATAGTGAAAAGTTGTGACTTAACAGTTTTGTCCATTATGCTTGATTGTTATTGTGGTCACTCGTGGAAAATTTTGACTGACAGATTTGTTTATTATGCTTTGTTGTTACTCTGATCACTTGTGCAAATGTTGACCCAGTTCTGTCTCTTAATCTTTATTATTAATGTGGTCACTAGTGAAAATGTTGACTTACAGCTTTTTACATTATATTTTATTGTTATTGTGGTCATTTGTGAAATTGTTCACAACTTTGTACATTATTTTTATTATCTGGTGATAATAGTATAAAATGAAGAGTTTGCACCAAATTTAGAAAACGTGCTACAACATTAATTTCAAATATAATGTTAATTCATAGTCTTTTAAGTTTTTGTAAAATGTTAAAAATTAACATACTTACTTGACAAGCTACTGCTATTTAAATTTGTATAATTGGTAAAATGTGAGTTTAAAAGTATGGTTTCTTATTGCTATTAATTGTGTTTGTTTATTTTATATCCATTAATAGCCCAGGAGTTTATTAGGCCACAGGTAAAATCAATTGCCTTGGAACTCTTAAAAATCATCAGAGAAACAGAAAATGATGACTTGACAAACATCATGCAGCATTTGGTGTGTGTGTTTGCTGAAGAGTTAGCACCTATTGCTGTGGAGATGACTAATCATTTGGTTAGTATTTATATTTGTTATTCGTATAAGGAACATTGCTCATTTGTTTTGTTTCCGTATCTGTTGTTACATATATGCGTGTAAATACTGACAATTGAAGTTCTAAGAAGCATAAGGAAATGATGAAGTTTTAGGCAAGTTAAATGTTTTTCTATTGAAGTTGTAGAAATGATACTGTACAAATATGAATAAAATATGTTACTTAATGTTCAAATTCTAGCTTACAGCTTATTGATGTCACTTGTTTGAAGTTTATATTTACTGAAATTGTTTATAGTCGGTAGACTTAGTTTTATTTTTTAATATATTAATTGACCTTTAAATCAGCTGTGTTACATAATTTAAGATCACATTTGTAATGTTGTATTTAAGAAAAATATATTTTTAATATATTTTAGTTGCTTTTCTTCAATAAAATATAGTCTAAAACTAACTTTGGCCTTTCGTAAGCATCCACCTTGCTGTGTATAGCATGAAGAGCCGAGTGTTTTGTTATCTCAGTTATGCAAGGAAGGTAAATGATCTACTTTCTATGCTTGAGATCTAGTTTCGCCTTCTTTGTTTCATGAAAGAAGAAGAGCTTGGATTAACTATATAGTTTATAGATTGCAGAGTATAGGCTTGCCCTGTGAAGAGCTCTGGATCTTTGGAGCTGGGTTGGAATCTGTGCAATACAGTTAAATGTTCCTCACACTTTAAGTTTTGAGTGCATTAGAAAATTACAGTCAATCTCTTAACATGGATAGTGGGCGGTAGGATGTTGCTGACTGACTGCCTCCCCATTTGGTCAGTAGTTTTGTAGCTTTGCCATGAATACAAAATACAAGTGTGTATACTCCACATTTTCTATTATATCATTTTCAGTGAGAACAGTTTTTCATATTCTGTATGATTTATAGACTACAGAATCTGTTCATATGGCCAAGGATCTGATTATAGTATGCAGCATGAAGCCTTACACAGGATTCATTGAACTAGGGATATTACAAAACTCAGTTTTATGTTTAGCTTATCAAGATTTGATTTTCATGTATACATTTCTATCTATAATAGGAATTATTTTTCAATACGAACCTTTTTTAAGTGTCTTTTGAATTGATATTTCTTCATTTTTTATTTTTGTTTGCACCAAGGCCTATTCATTTTATGTTTACTTATACTTTAGATTCCCTCATGGTCTGCTGATGTTATGTTTTGTATTTGGGTAGTTAATTAAGCACACAGTACAGAAAACTGTGCTTTAGATATTTGTATGTTTTATATTTCTTGTTCATACTTTATATGGTAGTCTTTGAATATTTTCAGAGCTTATATCTTGATTTTTTGACCAGGTACAGACCTTTCTTGAAAAGAAGACAGTTTTCTTAGATGGAACAGATGGTTCTGGAGACGAAAAGGCTGTGACAACTGGAATATTAAATGCCATTGAGACAATTCTGTCAGTCATGGAGGATGAAAAAAAAATCATGCTTGAAGTGGAACCTTATGTTCTACACGTATTGGAGTGATTTTCTCACAGAATATAGTTGGTGAGTAAACTTGTTATGATGTTTTGGTTTACAGGCTCAATGATTGGAGTGATTTTCTCACAGAATATAGTTGGTGAGTAAACTTGTTATGATGTTTTGGTTTACAGGCTCAATGATTGGAGTGATTTTCTCACAGAATATAGTTGGTGAGTAAACTTGTTATGATGTTTTGGTTTACAGGCTCAATGATTGGAGTGATTTT